AATAATCTGGTCTGATTTGTCCCACCCTGGGAGGAAACTAACCTAGTTTCTCACAGTACAGATGGAATTTTCCCTTGTGTTAGTCGGTCAGATCTATTCTGAAAGTCGACCCAACTGGTTCAGACTGTTCTGATCTCTGCTTTTCAGATGATGATCCAGTCATCCAAAATGGGATCAAAGCAGAGTTGCATACATTTTATAAGTCTTAACTGCATCTGAATGCTCCCACATAAAGAGATTTTTGATTACATTAGTTCCATTAAATGAAATACTCTTCCAATATTATCGAGTCAACAGCTGCCCCTTATAAAACCTACCTGCCTCTGATTGATCAAAGAAGGTAAGACCATTGAAACCTTGAGGCTGTTATTATTCAGCGTAAGAGATAATGATTTTCACTGAACTGTTTCATCCCTACCGCGGGCAAATGATCATTGTTTTAAAATGAATGCAGATGTTTTCCGTACATATATTTGTACCAGCTAGAAAAGTTCCTTAAGTAACAACACTTTCATCAATGGCTGCATTACACTAAAGACCTAAACTGAATGATTAAAATTAATTCCTGCATTCATTACAATGAAAGCTATTGCTTCTTGATTTTTCATGGGTTGTCGTGATTCAACTCAGCATTGAGTCATCTGCATCTGTGATGAGGCCATTTTGTTTTATTATTTTGATACATTTTCTTGGAAGGAAAATTCAGACCATTGTTACAAACAGAAAACAAATTGGGGACATATTGCACTCATATCAAACCTAACAATACCAATTTGCAGGCATGATTCTTTTAGCCTTTGGATTAACATTGAATGGAAAGTCCTTGATGTATATCTTGTGTCTTATTTAGAATGAAATTTCTTTCATTTTATTCATGGTGGATTTTCATTTTCTCATTAAGGTGAGGGATCTCTGTGCTGGAGAATAAATTATTTACATCAGATACAGAATAAAGTGCCCTCTATTGCCCTCCCCAATATTTTACCTAACCTGGACATGTGAATATCCCAAATGTACATTTTTTTCTTTTCCCATATTGCTCATCTTTGTGGATTCCTGATTCAGATTGCTAGTTATTCTGAATAGTACAAAATGTTGTGTTGGGGCCTCACTTCCATTAGCAACCGAGTTACGACTGCGCAAACTATTTTTGGATAGAACTCTTCAGCCAACATTTGGAGGAAACTCTGCTCATTGTTCTGGGTTTAATTCAGAGCCAGTGGTCTGACTCATTGCATCACTTATTTTATAATCTATAAGTTAAAATGGCAGGATCTATATGATGGCTGTCATTGAGCAGTTCATTGCAGCAAGTACTGTATCTTTGAGTGCAACCATTTAAACAAAGTTGGTGGCTGTAGTTGGGATTGTATAGGGGTGGGGATGTCTTTGGCAATCATTTACTAGACCATTGCCACAGTAGAATGTCCAAGATTTCCTTTCATCAAAATGAGTCAATATTAAAGAGCGTGGGGTTGAAAAGTGCTTGGACAGGTGATTGTGTGGGGGAGTTTGATCGCCTTTTGTCATCTATTTGTAAATGTCAGGGATGGCATAACCTATAGGGAGCTCACATAGTTTCTTCTTGATAATGGATTGACTCAGTATTAACTGCTTTTTCAGGGTATTTGTAAGCCTCTCCTCATAATAGAGCCATAATCAAATTTGTCATTTTTAACTCTTTTTGAATGCATCATTGTCTTGAAAACAGAGTGCTGGAACCTGCATATTGTACTCCAAATGTGGCCTCAATGGTAACACGCAAGGTTAGAATAATTTGTTTTAATTTATAGACAAAAGGCCCTGAGATGTATCAAAATGAAATGGTAAACGAAATAATGAATCTCACTCTTCTTTATATTGAATACGGATGGGAAGAGGAGGAGAAGGATTTTTTTCCCCTTTGCAAATTACTATCTTATCTCTTTGATAAATGCATTGTAAAATCCTTAGCATTGTGCAAGCCTAAAGGCTTCAGTCTGTGCCAGGTAGTTTTTATGAAGGACAGATGTTCATTTGACAAGATCTGAAAAGTGATTCATATAATGAAACTATTGTAATCAAAAGTATGCCTGGAACTTTTCCATCGTTCACTCCTTTACCAGATAGGGAGAAGAATTTTTTTTGTGGTGTACTTGCTTTCAGCACTGTTACCAACATTGTTGGCAGTAGCTATAAGGTAAATAAATAAAGCCCTACTGGTTCCTATGGAGGTGTAGAGACACATAAGAAATAGCAGCACTCCTGTTGTTGCCCTCGCAGCCCCTTGTCTTGTCAGCTCAGCTTCTATATAGGCCAGTACTGCAGTTTTTCTCGCTGCTGCTCTGAAAGGATCTTGCTTAGATATTAGGGAATATAAATGTTGTTGTATATAAATACTTCAGCACAGGATAGATTGACTTTTTTTGTACAGAGTTTTGAATTTTAAACTCATCTTTTTAGAAATTTGACACAACATTATATTGCCCCTCATTAATGTCTCTAATAAGACTCAGTTCTGTATTTTCACATTAAGAAATGGATCTTGAGCTATTTGCTCCCCAGGCTTTTGGTAATGTATGCACATCACAGTTACCCCTTCATTTTATATGGGTGGATTTTATGAGTTGGTTATATTCTACCTTTTATTCAGTCAATATTTATTGGAATTGAACTTTTCTTCATATAAAATTGTCATTCGACTGAGACATTCTAATTATTAAATTGTGTTCAAATGAAACTCAGTGCACAGTTTGCTTCTTCAATTCATTCTTTCACAAGTCCTTGCCCTATCTGCCCCACCAATGGTTATTCAGCCATTTCTACTCCCACTCTCTGGAACTCCATATTGGAGGCCCTCTGACTCGCTTGCTCCCTCTTCTCTTTCTCTTTCAAGGTATACCTTGTGGAGTCCTGTAGCTCAGTGGTTAGAGCGCTCGCTTTGCAAGCGAGAGACCTGAGTTCAATTCCAGGCAGGGCGAAACCTTGGGCAAGTTTCCTTACTCCACATGCCTAATAATAATCCCTCCAAAAACAAAACAATAATAAATTGGGCATTTTCAATCTACGACTGTTTGTGGGACATTGCTGTGCGCAATTGGCTGCCGCGTTCGCCCACAAATATACAGTCAATTCACTTTACAGTGTATTCTGTGAAGTGCTTTGGGACGTCCTCCCGACGTGAAAAGCGCTATATCAAATGCAAGGATTATTATTATTATTATACCTCTGACCGTACTTTCAGGTTTTTTTTTCTCCTCGGTTCCCACCCCTAGCAATCAATTTGTGGTTGGGGAGTGCTCATCATCCAGCACTGTGCATGCATTTTGGGACATCCTTCTGACGTGAAAGACATTATACATTTATAAATTGTGCTGTATTGCTTCACAAAGTATGAATATCCTCAGTTACTGGGGCTTTTGACATGGTAATGTTTTGTGAATGCTGCTCTGTGTTCAGCTGTTGGTTAACTGGTCTGTATGGGTTGTAGTGATGCGGAAACTGTTTTCCCCATTCCCTCCCTTAATTTCTTCCCACTCTATGTAGGATAATAACTGACCAGAGCTTCAAAGAAAATCTTTTTGACCTGGAGTATATGAACTTCAATCCATCAAACATGTTTTGCCTGTATCATTTCAGGTTATTAGGATGTCCCCCCCCCGATCTGAAAGGCGCTATTATAAATGCAATTTGTTGTTGGATAAGCAAGCAATCACTGTACCTTTAGGTGTCAGCCTGGCTCAGATGGTAGAATTCTTGCTTCTAATTCAGAAAATTATGGTTTCAACCCTAAATTGGGATTTTGAGTCGACACTTTAATTCAGTGCTGGGGAGTGCTGTATTTTAGGAGGTGCCACCTTCGGATGAGATGTTATACCAAGGCCGTGTCTTCCTGCAGTGAACATTAAAGATGCTATGGCACTATTCAAAAAGAGTAAAGAGTCTCCCAGTGCCATCAATCCCCCAGATATAAAATTGGCCATTCACTTTACACCTGTTTGTGGGACATTACCGTGTGTAATTTGGCTGGCCTTTTTACCAGCCAATCTTGACCTTGTGTGTTTTATTTGTCTTGAGTTTCATAGGAACAAAGGAACATAAGAACAGGAGTTGGCCACACAGCCTCTTGAGCCTGTTCCACCATTCTATTAGATCATGGCTGATCTGTACCTCAATTCCATTTACCCACCTTTGCTTCATGTCCCTTGATACCCTGACTTAACAAAAATCTATCAACCTCAGTCTTGAAAATTTCAGTTCATCCAGCATCCACATCAGGAGGAGAAAGTTCTAGATTTCCAAAGTGCTTCCTGATTTCACCCCTAAATGGCCTAGCTCTAATTTTAAGATTTTGTTCTGGATTCCCCCACTTGAGGAAATAGTTTCACTGTATCTACCTTATTGAATCTCTTTAACATTTTAACCACCTCAATTAGACCATCCCTCAACCTTCTAAACTCAAGAGAATACATGCCAAGTTTATGCAACGTGTTCTCATAATTTAACCATTCACTTCATTCCAATGACTGTTTGTGGGACACTGCTGTGCACAATTGAGTGCCGCGTTTCACTCACAAAATATACAGTTAATTCATTTTACAGTATATTCTGTGAAGCGCTTTGAGATGTCTTGAAAACGTGATAAATGCAATATCAAATGCAAGGATTAGTATTATTATTTAAGGTCTGGCACTGTATTCACTCCAGGGCCAACAGAAAATTGCCTATGTTGATGAGGAACCATGAGGTGGGAAAAAATAACTTGCAAAATGGATTAGGGTTTATATGGATATTGTGAACTCTTAAACTTTCCAGTGCCACAGATCTATGTTTTATACATGTATTCTGACATCTGGATGTGAATTTGATAGTGCAGAGTGATCTTTAACGTTTTGCTGTCATTAAATTGAAGCTCTGCAGTTACTGCTGAATCCCATCTGTTGTGTGATTTTGTAATCGTATCAGTTAATATTCTGATCTTTCACTTTCCTTCCCATTTTATGCTGGGTCAACCAATTTAGAACACTACAGTGGGACACTGATCCTTCAGTGCTTCAGCTCCAGTCTGACTCTGATCTTGGGTATGTATTTGTTTTCAGTGTTTTGCATACATTATTATACAAGACCATACTGTGATAATGTTTGGTTTATTGAAGATGTGTGAGCAGCTATTTAACTTTGTCCATGATCCCGACAGTCAGCATAATTACTTTCTCATGACATTGGTCCTTTTCGCTGTTTGTCATTAGATATGCGACAAGTGCAAGTTTGAGTCCTTGGTGGGTGGATACCGGGTCTCAGACATTCTTTGTGGGCCTCTTAGCAGCACAGCTCAGCATGAAATGCATGAGAGTACTGCTACCATCTTCCTGCACGCAGCTCAAGTGTGCAACTGTACCCACTGAGCAAATGGTTCCACCAATTGGAAGTGTGGAGCTTGAGCAGCATCTGCTTACCTCTGCATTACCAATCAAGCTGGATTCTAGTCCCCAGATATATGAACAAACTCAGACTCCAGGTAACTGCTTCCAGTAGGTGTCATTTCCCAGTTTCGGAGTTTTCTCTTCAGCCATTCAGTCATCTGCCTTCAACATGGTGGAAGGATCTATTTGGGACAGCTTATGACTTGATGGCCTTCTTCATGTTCTTGAGTCCAATGCTATGTGCAAGGCTAATTGAGCACCAGGTTAATACAGTTTGTCTTTTTAAAACAAAACGAGATATACTTCTGGAGTGCTGAACAACAGGTTGGTGTAGGTTGGAGTCTCCCGCTTACCTCACTGTTTGGTCATGGACTATTCAAATAGGCCAAAGGAAACCCCTCCATTGCATTCCCAGGATCTTGGAACCACGAAAGTGAGAACTGTTTGCACACAAGCTTAGTTGCATTGGGACTGTTATTTAAGACGAGATAAGAATGACCAGAGTGTCATTTTCTCCTTGTCAGGGTAGTCCCAGAGATTATGTCCAAGCAAAAGTTGTTTTCCACCATAATCCCTAGATACCAATAACGATCAACAATTGGAATGGATCCCCATGTATCTTCACATCAATACCTACAGTGCCTCCTCACAAATCCTGCAGCGCTATGGGTTGATGATAATAACAATTGTTAACTGGGTTGTTTTTACAATGTTGCAATTTGTAAATGTTCTAACATAACAGTAGTTGAAGTTTTTGTTAAAAAAGTTCAAATTTGTATTTTTCCATAATTTTCTTTTGATGGTTTTGTTAAAAGGGCCCATAAGATTTTTTTATTTTGGAGTGGTACTGTGATGTTGGAATAAAGGGGGCATGGAACAGGATTTTAGTGGAGACTAAGATGAATGAAAATCAATGGTTCTGTGAGCTGTTCCTAACCAGCATGGCAGGCACAAGCTCAGCATATTAAAAACACATTTCTGAACATTTGCAGTATTGAAGTTGGTGATTTGGTGGTTTGGCAGGATGGATGGAGTTTGTGCATGTGTTTAATGTGGGGTCTGACATGGGTGCTTGAGAGTACTTACTGATGCAAAGCCAAAAATAAGATTGATCCAAAAGTATCCTTCATTCAATCAATGTATTAGCTTTTATCTCATAATGTTTGCTGTGCCCAAAGATTTGATTTTTGGAGATTTACCTGACACCAATCATCTTTCATAATTAACCAGACAGAATAATTGTGCGTTTTCAAAATATTATTAATTATCCTATATTTTTCTCCTTTATTTCTCTTTTATTGACAATGTTTGGGGGGGTGGGGCAGCGGCCCATGGAGCTGAACTGGTTCCAAGGTGTTACGGTTTGCTACAAACTGCCAGACTCCAGTTAATCCTCTGGGGTCTCAGTAGTCCTGAGCCAGGCATGTCCGCAGCACTTCATGTCCTGTTGATTGGCAGGACTTAGAGGAGTAGACCAATCACTATGGGCTCGGATTCTTCCTCGTCAGATCTTGTTAACCCTCTAAGCCAAAGCTCTAATGCATAGGATGGTCCGACCTGGAAAAGCAGCTTGCAAGACAGTGCTTTCAATGGCAAGCGATATGTTTTTTGCTGGTTAAACTTCATTAGTGTCCCATTACACACTTCGGTGGTTCCCAAGCCTTGGATGTTGCCAACCTGCAGCTAATATTCTTCAGAATTACATAAGCAACAACAACAACTTGCAATTATCTTGTGCCCTTCATGTGGAGTAGCATCTCGGAGCATTTAGCAGGATACACTGCACATTCTATTTCAGACACAGACATGTGAAGGTGGCATACATGAATCTCTGTCTGGTTTGGATACTCTTCAGAATGGCAATGGATAACCACATGTGTCAGACACCTGAATGTCGAAAAAAATTATTTAAATGTCGGCATGAAACTTTTGGGGACAATCTAAAACCAATAAAGTCCTTAAAGAAAAATAGCCATTTTTCAAAGAATGTGAGGTCCTCCTGACACCTGACATTTTCTTTTGTCATAATCTCTTTGATATCACATCCCACCTCTCTGAGTGACATCAATGGCAACAGTGAGTGTCATCCTCCTCATCGTTCTACCACTGTTCCCAGAAAGAGGAAAAAAAGTCAAGTTCAGGAGGAACATCTGCCAAATGGAGGCAGCTGAATTGACTTTCGGGGTTTAGTTTGAATTGACTTTCGGACCTTCAACAGGTCACCCCTCAACCTTAAGTATTGGCATAGATTGTACAGCACGGAAATAATAATAATCATATTCCCTGCATTTGATATAGTGCCTTATCAGGTCTTCAGGACGTCTCAAAGCTTTTCCCAGAATATACTGTAAAATGAATTGACTGTATTTTGTGGGTGAAACGTGGCAGCCAATTGCTCACAGCAGTGTTCCACAAACCGTTGTGGTTTGAGTGACCAAATTATTCTTTTTAAGGGAAATGACTATCCAACACTAGTCTGTACCAGTGTTTATACTCTACATGAATCTAAATACTTTGCACTAGTCAGGAATTGAACTTGGGCCTCCTAAGTGGCAGGCGAGAATTCCACCACTGAAGCACAGATACACATTCAAAGGAAGTTGCGATATAAGTCCCAGTTCCTCCATTCTACATTCACAGCCCAAACCACTCATCCCTGGTATCCTAGTAAATCTCCTCTGCAACTCTTCTATCATCTCTTTCCTAAAAATAAAAGTGTTTCTCCCATTGGCAGACTGAGCACCTCATGCAGCATGAACAGCCTCTGCAGTAACAAGCAATGCAAAGTGAGAAAATCTCCCAACAGCATATTGTTCTGGCATATATGTGCCTCTTGATAAAGAGCCCACATTCCTTGACTCTTGGGTGGATTTTGTGGTAGTACTGCAGCCACAGGTGTTAGAGCAGCTTGAAAACCTTCTGCCATCACAGTTCATAGTCACCAAGTCAACCATTGAAAACCTGCCTCTTGCCACTAGATCATTTTTTATGGTGAATATCGAACAGCACTGAAAGGATGAGGATCTGGATCTTTGATCTTTTGTTGTTCTGAAACAGTCTTGCCTAGTCTTAATTCCCTAATCTACCTTTTAAAGTGTTTAATTTTTAGCAAATGTATATTGGTCTTCTGAAATAAGTATTGAAAGTATTGATAACAATTGTTTGCTACTAACTTTTCGCTATTTAATGCAGCCGTCGCTTGCCTAAACTTGCAATTTCGAAAATTACTCAAGTTGACTTCTTACCAAGAGAAGTAGTGTCGTACTGCAAAGAGACTCAAACACCTGTCGCTCACCAGCAAGAAGGTAAGGTAGGACCAGGCTCTGCATATCTGTGAGCTCAACGTTTCTTAGAGATTGTAATCTTGTGGACAATTTTTAGTTAATTATGCAGTTTGCATTGATTATAATAAACAGTGGGAGACCCAATGTCAATTTGCAATTCCTCGTGGGGGCATTTGGCTCCCCCCGTTCACATTATTCCTTTTCAGTGAAAGCTAAGGCATGTGGTGTTTGCTTGATTCTTAGAATTCAGATGGGGCTGGTGCCTATTGAAAGAAAACGTAAGGTAGCACCCGAAATATTAAAGTGATTGTTTATGGTTGTAGCTTATAGTTTATCCTAGCGGAAGACAAAAAAGCTTCACAACACTTAAAACTCAGTATTTTCTTCAATGTAATGTTGTTCTAACAATAAAGTCTGATTTACAGAATTCTTAACAGATTCGATATGAAATAATTCTGTTAGAATTCCCATTAAGCAGTGGAACCCAATTTTGGAATTAAGTAATGTCGAAGTGGATTTCCCAAAGGGTTTTCCAAGTAATGTATTCGGGCCCATATTTGTATATTTCTTGCAGCTCAAGTTAAGCTTACAGTAGTAGACCATTCTGAACCACATACTAGGGAAATGCTGATAGAAGAGCTATTTTAACTCTTAATGAGCTATTTTCAAGATGGGAACAATGAACCATTCAACCTGAATATAATCACCCACACTAAACCCACTCCACACCAGTCCTCGCTAGGCACCACTGGCTCCCCATCACAGAATGGATCGATTTCAAGATCCTCTCAATCGTCTTGGTTGGAGATGAGACAGAACTGTCTGAAAGGAATGAAGCCAGGTTTCAATAGTGGAGATGTGCAGGATGGACAAATAAATATTCTAGGAATCATGCAGCGTGGTGCAGAATTTCCCCCCCCAAGATATTGAGTGGGTGGGGTGGAGTCCACAATCTTGTAGGTATGGTGTGGTTTGTGCGAGGACGGTCTTGTTGGGCCTTATGGCATTTCTGATTTCATGCGTCATTTTCTTGTGATCCTGGGTGTGAGGAAAGCAACAAAATGGCACCCTCTTGTGGTGGCAATTAAATGTTTCCAGATACATTAATAAGCCTTGCAGATGTGAAATGCTGACCATACAGAAATTATTTTTGCAGGTTCTCCTGAAAGAGAATATTTGCATTAATGGAGATGATTTTAAAAAAAAAAGTTTGGAATTACTGGAAAATCAGATGCTTGAATCAGATTTATAATACTAATCCTTTCATTTGATATAGTGCCTTTCATATAGGGATGTCTCAAATCGCTTCACAAGATATACTGTGAAGTACAGTGACTGTATTTTGTAGCTAAATGCCCAAATATGAAAGGTAATATTGTACTGTGTTACAAATTGAAAAGCTTTATTGAGTGGGGCCATGTAGTTAGGAAACCAAATGTATAACGTGGGCTTTGGAATTCACAATTTGACATCTATAAAACTGTACTAGTTCAGATGTACTTTTTTACCTCCCTGCCTTACTTTCCACTTCACCACCGCTCGGCTGGCTCCAGCCCCCTCTTGTGCCTCGCCGTCTCTGCCCAACATTGGCAGCCATGTTTTCAGCTGCTACGTTCTGAAACTTCGGAACTCTCTCCCTCAATCCCTTCGTCTTGGCTCCTGTTTCCCCCTTTCCAGATCACAACTGAAGACCTTCCTCTTCGGCCATGTTTAAAGTCACCTTCTCCCTTCTGCACGGCTCGCTTCAAGCTCCTCTGCCTCTGTTAAGTGCTCCGAGACTAATCATTCACTGAAGATTTCTAATTTAATTTAATATTACAGTTAATAATTAAATACTGGGTTGAATCTTGAAGAACATAAACTAATGTAAGTTATTCTAGATATTTATAATCTATTTATAGATTAATGGAAATACCACATTTTGAATATTGCATTGGGCATCCTATCCACAAATGATGAAGCATTGGAAAAGATTCAGAGAAGAGGAACAAAGTTAATTTTGTGATTTGGAGCTATAAGCAAATGAGGCGAAATTCAATGAGCTCATCCAGAATGTACTGCCCAATCAAATGCAGAATAAATTCAGTAACTAATGTATGTTCCACATTAGTTTTGATGCAGAATAGCTTTTAGTACGTTTAATTTACAAATGCTTCATTGCCCATTGGAACTAGTGAGTCACACTCCTTGAAAATGCTATACAATATAACATTGTGAAACAAGATGTTGTATTAAATAATTATGATGGGGTCACTAAATTAACATGTTGTAGCTAAATGCTGATAAACACAACTAGTTTGCCAAAAAATAATGAAGATTTCTCCTAACTGTAGATTAGAAATAATTGATTTGGAAACCTTTGTACTTCAAGCCATTTAGTTATTCAGCAATTACTTCTGAATAAAATCAGAAAATACTTGACTGATTTTACAAAAAAAATGATGTAACTAAGATCTTTTTTCTCTTTCTTCACCTCACACCAAGCAGTTTACCCAGTCCAAGAGCTCATTTATTCTGCTGTACAATAGCCACTAGGAGACGCATGAGAGCAGGGCACCAACCTCTTCGGATTCTTGTCACACTCAGCACTATGTGAAAGTGCTATTTCGTGATCAAGAACTTGCCTTAACGGTAGTTGCAGCCTTGAACCTGTATCCTATCAATTGTGGGGTACATTGGAGCACTGATGTGCTGAGAATGCTGTCATGGCTAACTATGGGAATGCTGTCATGGCTAGAGCATGCTGTAATGGCTAGAGAACCTCCAAAACAGCATAATATAAATAATAATCCTTAATAATTCTTAGAGAGCCTAATCATGCCAAAGTGTCAGAGGGCCTCACACTTTTTTGTAAAGTGTAATGATTGTGTAATAGTAAGCAAATGTGGCAGCCAGTTTGTGCACAGCAAATCCTCACAATTAGCCATTAAGTGAATAATTAATTTTACTGGAGGATTATTGGACAGAGTGTGGGAGAAACTTCCCTTCTCTTTTTGAGTTGTGGCATGAGATCTTTACCATCCATCTGCAGACAGATAGATGAGATCTCAGTTTAATGTCTGAAGGACAGCATTGCTGGCTATTCAGCACTTCCTCTACATCACCTTAACCATAAGATCTGAATTCCGAATGCAGGACATGAGTCCACAACCTTCTGACCCCAGGCTGACACCCTGAATATAGTTCACAGGTGAAATTCGGCACTGATCTATATTAATATAAATACAACATGTGGAAATTAGTAATGTTATACTATAGAAGTGAAGTGGATCTGTGTTCTACAATGTTATTTTCAGATCAGTATGTCTCGAGAGTTGACTATTACAATAATACCTCCTCCAACCCCCTCCCCCTTATCCTACCATGATTTGTATCAGATATAAATTGGCCAGAATTGACTAACAATTTAATAGATGCAATCAATCAAATCATCGAGAACATTATTGGAATCAGCTCATTTTTCAATCCTTGTTTGGCAAGAACATGAACTTAATTTCCTTTTATTTGATTAACTTCTTTCCTTTTTTAAAAATACATAATTTCCTGATGGTTTGTCATGGCTGTCCATAAAAATCAAGATACCCAGATAATTATGGGAACAGGATAAAATACTGTGAGGTCTGAGTGGAAGATAGTGATCACTGGCTTCTGATGACATCACCAGGAAGGATTAAAGGTCATCCATTTGAGCTTTGAAACTGAAATTGTACAAAGCTTCAAAAGAAACAAGCATTTTCCCAGCCTCAGTTAATACAGTATTGATGAAAGAGTGTAATCAAAAGATATGCAATTTCTTATACAATGGTGTAGTGAAATTGATCCAAGTGCACTGTTAATTTAAGTGACCTAGGAAAAGCTGATTTATGCAACAAATTCATAGTAGATTGGCTATCTACTTGCCACTTCCTGTAACGAATGCCAGCAGTAGTTTCATTGCGATTGTGTTTTAATCATTAATTACAGCAGCTATTTTGCAGTGGATTAAAACACAAACTCGCTTTATGTGGGACCTTAAGAGTATTTTGTGGTAATTTAGTTGTTGGTGGAAGAGTCCTTTTTCTTCATTGAACTAATACAGCCCTTATTTAAAAAAAAATAAGATTTGGTAGTAAAACGTATAACCCTTTTTTCACAACCATAAGCCTGTGCTAAAAAGCATATGCCAAATCACTTTAGAATTTTTTAAAAAGAAAATTTATAGTGCATCAGTATTTTGTTTATTTGAGACCATTTGAGATTGTTTGGCTACATGTGAATTTTTATAACTATCTTTGACCAAAGGATGTTATCCACCAAGCAGCTACACTACTGTTATTGTAAAATGGAGCGAAAGATTGTACTATGGTTCGTAGCCTCAGGCTATGGAAAAGATTTGCTTGTACTGCAGGAAAGGTCTCGAGATTTTAAACTTTTCTGGAAACGCTTTTCAGTCTTATAAACAGACACCATGCCAAGCCATTGCCAACTCGTCCATATATTACAATTTTTCTGAAGGGTTTTCCAGAATTTGCTGCTTTAGCCTGTGCCCATAATTGTTTTGTTGAATGATAAAATATAGGAACACTGCATCATGTCTGTACTTCCAACTCAATAGGGATCTCAGAAGTAGTCGGCAAGTTTTAGAAGTGAAAACTTGTCAAGCGGAACATGTTTAGGAAATCATAAGCAACTTGTAAGCTGGTACCACTAGGGAACAATATTTTAAAACTTCTCGATATTTAACATGGCAGAAGTGAACTGCTTTAAGAAAATGTCACAGGCCTGCAGTCCACAGTGTAATTTCAAAAGCAACTATTTTTTCCTGCAATTGCTCCTTCTAATTTGTTTACAATATTTAAAATAAAACTTTGTTGTAGTTTGTAGTTCTAGGAACTGTATATGGATCATGGGTGCTTGTGAGGGTGAATTATGAGAATTCAGCAACTGGAGTTTCATTCCAATTTCTGCCAAGATAACATGAACATGTTCTTTTACTTTAGAAGCTTGATTTCTTGTTGCTTATTTCTGAAAAGTGCACAATT